GGGAGCAGGGCAGGAATACGAGATGTTTGGGTGTTAGTGGGCGGGGCCTCACCCTTCAGGTCCGGTCTGTGTCGGATCCCGACCGACACGAAGAAGCAGTCCATGTCCACGTGCAGGATGCAGGGCTGTCGTGCCTGAGGGCCTGGAGGGGCCAGGGAACCTGGGGCAGGAACACCCAGAGAGTCAGAGAGAGACCCAGAGAGTCAGAGAGAGACCCAGAGAGTCAGAGAGAGACCCAGAGAGTCAGAGAATCCCAGAGTCAGAGAGAGACTGAGACACCCAGAGAGTCAGAGAGACCCAGAGAAAAACCCAGTCAGACACCCAGAGAGTCAGAGACACATGACTCTGACATGTACCCACCCAGCTGAAGCTTCTTCCTAAATAAGCCTGACTCAGCAAAGCTTGTCTCAACTCAGCACAGCAGTGGAATCAGCAGCAAAGCTCTTAAGAAGGGTCTAAGCCCAGTGTATTCTGGGATACTTGGGCCTCCTATCCACTTCCAGGAAAGGGTGAACGCAGCAGGTTTGGAAATGTGGCGAATTCTGCGACAACGGGCTAAGCCCACATTCTGACAAACTAACAGAGAGAGGAGGCTGACTGATTTATTAATGAGGTCTACCATTTTGGGGGTAGATGAGAAGCATATTATAATTTAAAGCTGAAATCTGTGTACGAGGTAGAGAGCTTTCTGTGGAGAATAACGGTTGATAGATCACCCAGGGGATGCATCAGAATCAAAGAGGAGGAGGAGCTCTATATTACTCACATTTATGATGATAATGTTAAAGATGCAGTATATTCATTTGTTGGCATGTCCTGTTACCGTTTTAAAGCATTACAAAATATACCAAGAAATTTGAATTGTTATTTTTATTCAATGTGGTCATTGTACCTGTTGCAAAGTGAAATTGTACCTGAATTCTTTGAAACATAATATGTAAACTAAACTTAAAAATGCATCAATGGCTTCTCACTACAAGTAATATTCCTGCTTGTTCTCTCGTAATGTCCCCGTGAAAATGCATTAAAATACCACTCATGGATTACTTCTAACTTCTTACATCTAGCAGAGTCTAGCCCGGGGGGGGGAGGGGGGGCAATCTTATCGGCAAAGGGCCGGTGTGTATGCAGGTTTTTGGGATAACCTGTAGGTCAGCTGTTCGAACCCAGGTGTGAGGACTCTTCAGCCAATCAGCCCTCTAATTAGTGACCTAATTAGGGAGTTGCAGTGACAACCTGCATACACAGCGGCCCTTTGCCGGTAAGACTGGCCACCCCTGGTCCAGCCAGTAAGTGAAGTAGTGGCAGCAGTACGTTAAGCAGAATAAATCGAAATAGAAAACCACAAGACAGAAATCAAGGTGTCATGTTGAAATACCTGCACCGTGAGCCATCCTTTGACGCCTTAGGCGCTCCCGCCCGGGAAAGTTGGTGCCCCCTGTTGCCTGGGTCCGGTACTGCAGGGAACTGACATACTCCGAGAACTCGCTGCGCCAGGTGGAGATGTGATGCAGGCGGGAGTGAGAGTAGTACTCGGAGATAGAGTCCGTTCCCATGACCTGCTCACCACCTAAGGAGTCGCCAGGGTTCAAGGTAACATGTGGAGGTGGGTTCAAACATTGGGGCGTAAGATGCTGGGCCCCATTGAGCCGGAATCTGCCCACGCTTCGCGTGGGGGTAGGGGGTCCCTCAGGGTTGCCAGCCTGAGGGTGCAGTTTCTGCACCGGGGGTGGCTTTGGGTCTGAAGGCTGGGGTGTACGTGCCTGGGTACTGCCTGCTTCAGGTCTCAGAACCCGGCGAGTCATGTCCTGTGGGGATATCGTCTGACCACCAGGGGGCAGCAGATGAGTAGTCTCCACTGTACCAATGACATGAGAGTCAGGGGGCGGGGCCCGGGGCCTCTGGCTCAGCCAGTCATCCTGTGGGATCAGTCCCTGCATTGGGTCATGGGGTTTTAAGGCACCATTCATAGGGTGGCTGTGGCCATTGGTGAAAGTCCGCTCCAGGGCTCCTTCCATGGAGGAGGGTCCCAGGCTGGGGGGGTCACCTCCCACCTTCTGCATCCCATTCAGTCTCAGGCCCAAACTCAGGTCTGTCCCATTCCTGTAGGACAATCTATAGTGAGTTATAGTGAAGAACAAAGGTGAAAATCTATATTTAAAATAGACGATCAGTGAAATAACAGTAAAACACTATGATATGACACAGACTTCAATAATTTCATTACGCTGGTTTGGACTGTGTAACATTAATGAAACATTAACATATCAGATTAATATGGAGGCGACCAGTATTTCCCATACTTACAGCCTGAAGTCTTGATGTGTCAAACTGGGGGCGTGGCCAATATGTTTGGGGGTGTGGCCAGACTGGTAGTGGGAGTGGCCTGGCCCATCATGTTCCTGTCCCAGGTGTATACTGGGAAAACTCAGCCCCTTCTGCTTGGTATAGAGCTGGTACTTCAGGTACGAGAGGAGGTGGCCTGCCTTAATGCTGGGGGAAGGTAAAAAGGAGAGTCTGACTATTTTAAATTAATGTTCCAGGAAGTCTGTGAGGAAGTGACACCGGAAGTGGGCCTCATGTGAACAAGCGCTAACGATCGCCAAGACTAACAGCTACACGCACACACCTGTCGGTGATCCAGTCAGGCCGTACCACCTTCTCTCCCCGCAACTCCTTGATTTTGGTGTTTGGGAGGTTGGTGGCGATGATGTGCGTGGTCTTGGAGCGCGAGTAGTACACATGGTACTGTCCACCGTGCAGCATCATCAGTCTGCGCAGCTCGTCTGCGCTGGGATCTGCGGGGGGGGCGTGACAGAGCCATGAGCTGGGCGGAGCCGGACCGCAGCACTTCCCGCGAGGGCGAGGGAGGGGCTTACCCGTGTAGCCGTTGACGTAGATGGCCACACCGCTGAAGATGCTGGAGGAGCCGCCCTCCTTCTGCTTCTCCCGGGGGGCGTCCTGCTTAAACTGCTCCTCCAGCTTGGAGACCTTGGCGGCCATGTACCCCCCCTGGAGGGGAGCCGGAAACCCCACAGAAGCACACGTAAGGAACCCAGAAAGCGGGGGGGGCGGGCGGACCCCCGACTTCAGCGAGTCCCCATTGCCATGGCAGCCGGAAAAGCTATTATGAGGATGACTGAGATGAAGGCTTGCACCCTGTCTCTCGATACTCACACGCCTTCATACCGTGTGTTTTCACGTCATGTGTACATTCCGTCTACTCAACACGAGTGCAAGTCTAATGTGTGTAAGACCTTCAGTTAAGAACCATTTGACACGTGACTAATGCGTCTAACAAAAACTGAAACACGGAGCTTTGTCAGCCCAACAATTTATCCTTTTTAGCACAAACCTATTAGCAGAGTCACTGAGTTTCTTCAAGTGTAAAGTGTTCGATGTCATAATAAGTTCCTATGCTACCTCAAACTACAGTTACCATAATCCTCTGCATGTTAATGAATCCACTTCCTGGTTTAAGTCTGCCTTGCCAACTTTTGTGCTCCAGTAAGATTCCTAGGGTGTGGATTCTAAAAAGGAAACTACAACTTGTCTGTTCCACAAGCATAATCAAAAAGTCATTAAATCCATGTATTGAAAAGTAATTCTGTACATACATGTATTGAAACTGGCCCCTAATTTGGATATCATCGACTTGATATTGGAATACTGACACTTGCGTGCTAATATGCCACAGAGTGTCATCAGCTGAAATTTTTCCAATATTCCGGATATCTGTATTATCCATCATATTTTTCAGATGTTGCACAGAAAAAGTCCAACACGAATCTCTGCTGAGAAAAACTGGGAGAGA